CAGAATGGCCAGAGCTCCCCCACACCCAGCCTGACTCACCCAGCGAGGAGTAAAAGGAACAAACACTTCAGCCTCTTCTCCGCAGCGGCAGCCAGGGAACAGCTGAAAAAGCCCAGCTCCTGCAAGGCAGGCACTTCGCTGGGGGAGCAGCCATCATGCAAGCCCTCCGAGACTCATCTGCCAGCATCGGCATCCCAGGTCTCAGCAGGCCCTTGGGAAATGGGTCCCAGTGGAAAGGAGAGGGCGGGATCTGCCATAAAACCGGGCTGCTGTCCTACCCAGCGAGCTGCTCCTGCCACCGGGAGGGCCAGGCAGTGACACTGCCGCACAGAAGCTGCTCTTTTTACCAGGAGGACCTGGTGTGTAGGGGGGCAAAGTCCATGAAAGCTTTGCCTCATCTAGGGAGCTTTGTCAGGAAGCCAGTTTGAAAGTGACCTTGTCCCAAAGATCTGGCAAATGTTTATGGAGGGGAAAAAAACCCCTGAAACCTGTGCCCAAAGCTTCTGAGATCACGCTTCTCAGGGGAGCCAGCCGGGTGTGGTTTGCACACCAGCTTCGTGGCTTGGGACCACGAGTGGAGGCGTGTGTGCGGGGCTGCCCGGAGGAGACATCTGCGCCAGGGACATGTCCCTGAGACGCAGCACTTGTTTTCCAGCCTTCAGGGTGGTGATGACTTTGAGCTGCGGCCAGGCTAGGATTTCAGTCCGTGACCTGAAGGTGAAAGGCTTGGTGTGCCATTCCTGGGCTCCAGCTTGTGCCCCAGCTCTTACAAGAAACTTGGTTTCTCTTTTCTGTATTTTTGCAAGTTTTGAAGATTAAGGCTTTTAGACCTCTAGAAGCACATTTTGCTCATCTTGGCTGCTTCCTAAAGGACCGGAGAGCAGGTACAGCCTGCCCGGCCACCTCCTCACCTCCTGGATGCCGTGCCAGCAGCAGCATCCTATTTTATTCCACCTGGAGCCGTGCCCAGGACTAGTCTAAATTTTCTTGCCAACACATTTTTTTCCTCCAAGATGTTCTGCCAGTCAGTAATGCCCTAATGCTCTGTGTAAAGGTTCTTCCCAAATCTGTTTTGGACAATTCCCAATTTGTAACCCAATATTACTGCCCAAGCAAATTAAAAAACATTGCCGGAGGACTGTGGGACAAGGGATACCCCAGCCCCTGGGGCAGTCCCTTATGTTGGGGCTTTATCTCCCCCTTAACACCTCTTTCACAAGAAAAGGCAGGGCTGGAGAAGCCCAGAGGATCTGTTCCAGGTCCCCCCAACAGTTACAAACCCTTTCACCACCTCTTTTCAGTCTAAACTTGGCCTCGGCCACTTCATTTCCAGAGACATCCTTCCATGTAAATCCTCCCTTTCCTCTCCTGATCCCTGGGGAATTCACACGCATACGTGCTTCCGCTTGGGGATCGCAAACCTCGCGCGTGTAAGGCGTTTCACAGCAGCAGGCCGGTGGCGGCGGCGATGTGGAGCGGGGACACGGGTGTCACTGCCTCCCCGCTGCCCCATGCAGCGCTCGGCCCGCAGATCCAAGAAGCCTCTGCAGAAGGGGATGTTTTTGGAGGCCCAGTGCCCCCCAGCCTGGCTCCTGGCACACCCCAAAAGTGAATCACTCCCCTGTGGGCTCTGCAGCGGGCAGGGGCTGGACTGTGGCAGGGG